ATAACATTGTCAGGAAAGTAACAAACAAAACAGCATATACATCATTTCATTTTCCAACTCGTATGTTATTAAATAATTAATAATATTTTTGTCGGTCTAGATCATGAAATGCTTTCTGACAAAGTGCTGTTTATCTATGCATTTACACAGAACTATAACTTAGGCTACTCAACCGCGATCGCCCGTGCAGATAATAAATAATTAATTTCCACAAAGCGGTATATTTAGATGTGAATTAGCGAAATAATTGCTATGTAGTAAATGATCATATAGCCTAATCTAGGGTGTTTAAACAAGATAATCTTGTCAAAAGTTTCATTCAGTGGCCGTGCTTTAACATTCCTGATCATCAACCCAGTGAGTGCTCAGCAATATGAACGAACTTTTTTTCCGAGACTAATGGTGAGCAAATACAACAGATAGAGAATTAAATTCAGCGCTTTTATTTTCAACATGCACTCATTCATGTCTGTTTTATTTAATTCATGTAAAGTTACGTCTTTATTGGGGCAGGACATGACGTATTACGCTACGTGACTCCATGAGTTCGTCTGAATTTTTTAGAACCAAGCTGCATAAATAAACTATATCAGGCATTTATGTCTCAAATCTCATTTCTGCATGTCTGTTATGTTAAATAAAGTTGAATAATTAAAGCAAAGCAAGTAGAACATATACTTACCTGTGCACAGTTGTTGTTGACTGATCTCCTCAGACGCGGGCTGCAATGGCGGAATTCTCAAAACGGCCACAAGATGGCGCCATTAATCGGCGAATCCGATATTACAAAACCGATACCCGATTATGGGAAAATGCTTAAATATCGGGAAAAATATCGGTAAACCGATACATCGGTCGATCACTAATGATTACTACCTATATTTGAACATGTGAAATGTATACCCAATTGGTTCAATAATATTTTTCTGCTAAAGGACAAACACTCAAGTAACTTTTTGGGCTTGAAAAACTTTCATGTTGATAATGTCCAGAAACAAGTATTTAATTGTTATTATGAAAACTTGCTTATGGGTATTGTTTTTGTTCATTAGGCTAATGTCATGTTGGAGTATGATATTGATGAGGCTCAGGCGCTGTTGGAAAAAAACCTGGGTACAGCTTCCCGTAATTTGGACTCTCTGGAAGAGGACCTGGACTTCCTCAGAGACCAGTTCACAACCACTGAAGTCAGTATCCTTAAACTATGGCAAATATAGAGAATCAGGTTTGAATGAATAATTTTCCATACTGCTCATTGTGTTTGATTAGTCCTTTACTCGAAAGTATTTATTTGTATTATCACAGTGAAAACAGTCACTGCTTAATATTGTTTTGTGGAAACCGTGATTCAGGATTCTTTGATGAATAGAAATTTCAAAAGAACTGCATTTAGGTGAAATAGCCTAGATAATTTGCTAACATTATGTCTTTACTTTCACTTTTGATCAAATAATGAATCCCTGCTGATTAAAAATGTAAGTTTCTTTAAAAAATATATGCATGTATACGAAAGAGATAAATCTGTTCAGTATTTACATTATCAGTATTTAATATGGAGAGCATTGAGACATTACCCTTTGTTTCTTGTTATTGATTATGTAATAGTGAATCTTGTTCAGATTTAGCATTGAGGTTAAAATTAATGAGATGTAGATGTGTTCTCATAGTCCACATCTGCGCTTTTTTTAGACAATGTTGATGCTGCTAGTGCTGGTTTGCGCCCAACCTGGTCCATTCTACACACTTCTACCAAAAACATATTTCTTTTTACAAATATCGTGTGTGTGACATGGTTGAATGAATTTTGTTTTATACATTCTGACTGTTACCTCAAAAGCCAGCTTGTGATTGCATAAAGATTCTGAATTAATGACAGTTGGTAAAATGCTCTCAAAGCTATGATGAGTATGACTTGACAGTCATGCCAATGGGCTCTATGCACGGCGGTATTTCCGGTGAAGGTCTAAGGATGCTGGATTACTTCCGCCGATCGTAGAGTCCAATGCTATACCGAGAATTTATATTGGTTTTTATACTCTATTGCTATACTAAAGTAGCCTGACTTCGTCATACTCATATTCTAGTCAGAATGTGAGTCTGATACTGCTTCATAGGGCTTTGATTATGAGGCGTGTCTTAACCGAACCAGGAAAAAAAAACCTCTGCACTCAATTGGATAGACCTACAACCAATGAGAGCAACGCAGTAAGTCAACTACTTTGCATAGCACAGTTGTCAACTACAGAACTCAAATGCACGCACGCTGGAAAAAGTAAAATAACGAGTGTTGCTTCTTTTACTTGGCCCTCTATGAGTGCGACCAAAGGAGAAACCACAACGACCACAGGGTTTTCATTGCGTCCCATCTTCTTAGTTACCATCGGAGCCAGCTGATAAATTAAACTTTTGCCGAATGCCATAGGAAGGATGGCAAACACATCTTTCCGATCGACAAATGCCTTGATTGCAGTTCTATGTTCGTCTTTTAAAATGAATGCGCTGTCGATTTCTTTTACAACGGACGCGATAGCGGAATCTACATCTCAGTTCTCCAGCGGCAGTCATCTGTGAGGGAAACCAGTTCAACCCAAGCGCTCTTTGATAACGTGAGGATTACGTCCCTTCAGATCATCTGTCCGTCATCGTATAAAGCCCGCCCTGGCAATTTGATTGGCCCGACGATTTCTGAACCGATCATAATTACTCCTCAATGGAGCGAGTCCAGACCGAACTTCCCGATCAAAAAATGTTGTGGGCGGGGTTCGGGCTGGCATCCAGGCTAATACTAAAGAAACGTTATTCACAAAAACAGACAAAACAGACACCCCTCATGTTGTTTATGCTTCTTTGTTTATTATATTAAATAAACATAACTATATATAAAATTACATCTAAACGTATTAAAGTTTCGTTTCAAAGACGAGAGGACAGTAAATTTTGAAGACTCTGCCATAATCCCGTTTTCCTCCGCTTTAAATCTCCCCAACCGGAAAAGCAATAGCATCCTTGCATCAAACGCGGAAGTTATGCGTGCATATAGCCCATTACATTATCAGGCCCTCAAATCAGTGGAAATGCAGGCCATTTGTGAGAGAGATGAGCTGTTTCCAGCCACCAATGTTTTTTGGTAAGATCTAAAAATTCTAAAAATGTGCATACAAAACTTATGCACATAATTGAGGCTGATAATTTTTTTTTTTATCTGATAAGAAGCGCATAAACTACGACAAAATCAAATTTACTGAATAAATCCCTCGATGCGTATCCTCAACAGAGGATGTGATTGGATAACTGGACTAACCAGTGGACCAGTGGAATAAAAATTATTTGGTTTAATTCCCTCCCAGAAGCGTCTCACATGATTGTATTCCCAAACACCAGGCATCCGAACGCAAGATAACATGACAACGTATATTGCGTTTCGTCTGCTCACTCTGAGATGCAACATCCATTTTTATTACAGATAGTTTGCTCCAATTTCCCCTGTGGTGACGATTTTGTTCTCTTAAACACATGATGGAAATGGTCCATTATTCGCAAATTTATGCAATATTTCAATTTTGTGAAATAGTATAATTCGCAACTTTGGATGGAAAAATAGCTATGGACAGATGCACTGGCTCCAACACTATTGGTGGAAAAGGGTGTTTGTCATAGCTGTAATGTGATTGAAACTGTTAATATTTATCAATGCGGATATTTATAGATGTTGTGTGTTGCTTATGTGATCATTGAGTGAATTTTGCTTAGGAATATTCCACATCATATTCTCTGCCTCAGCAAACTCATGGTTTTTAATGACATGACATCTGTAGATATCTTTCAAGGAAGAACTCATTCAGGCATATCAGAGACAGGCCATACGTGCCACCTGTTCTCACCACCTGTTAGAATCTGTTTAGTGAAAGATTTGTTGACTCGTGTCATCTAAGTGGAACATGTTCCTCCTGGTTATGGAGTAAGGAAAAAAGCAGAAATAACTTTCCAAAGTTTTCAGATACACCTTAACCACTACTCACAGATATGGCACGTGTTTACAATTGGGATGTCAAGAGAAGGAGCAAAGACAACCTCCTCAAATCTGCTGAGCAGTCCTAGAAAAGGAGGCCTAGTTTGGTCCCACCCCACACGAATTCCTTCCCCATCAGAAAATTCACCAACATCTATCTGTTTGCACCAACTGTTATCTGTTGATTTATTACTTTTTAAAGTATTTTTTCAAGTAAAAAGGTGAAAAACATCAAACAAAATAATACTGGTAGTTTTTTTTTTTTAGTTTTTTTTTATGATGAATTATTAGCTTTTTCAGATGGGGGTTCTCTCCATAGGGTCTACACATTTGTCTTCCTCTGTGCCCTTTTTCCTTTCATTTGATGTTTGGTAAACATTTGCAATTTCAGTTCTGTTAAAGTTAAACTGTAAAGCTTAACTCATATGGTCCTATTTCTTTCTGTGGAATTTTTCTTGCCATGTCTTGGTGAGATTATTGTCAAAATGCAGCATGCAGAATATCAGGGGGACATCTTGTTTCATTCAACAGCCTTCCTTCTCCACTTCCCTTTTCCTCCTCTGATGTCTGTTTTTTTCATCTCTTGTCCTTCATCTGTGCTCATTTGTCACATTGTAGCCATTAAACACTGAACAAGGAACTAATAATGAAGCGCTTTGAGAAGGCACAAATTCGATGAGCTGGTCTGTGTTTTTAATCTGCGTAGCTTTTTATAATTCCTCGTCTGATTGAGGTTCTGGCAGTGAGCGAGATGAATAAGCTTTGAGTGCAACTAATTAAATATGTGCCTGCAATTCTGTCCCTTTCTTTCAATCTTTGGCAAGCACTTGTGCATTACTGAAACTACTAATTCTGTGCTAAACTTTCATTGCCTTTCGATTACATTCTTTTGGAGCAGCACAACTGTTAAATTGATAATATCCTCATTAAACTGTAAAATGACCCCTAAATAGTGGGTGGAATGTAGATATATTGTATAATATACAACAAGAACATATTTAACATGTTACTTTAATCTGTAGTACATTTCAAGTTCCCTTGTTAAAGAGGTACAGAGTCAGTAGTGTTTGTACAGCCAGTCCTTGCAAATCCACATCAGCATCAAAAAAAGTTTAAAGAGAGCGAGTGGTCAACACAATTCAAAATCTTTTGGTCCTTCCCTGAGACCCTGTTTCAGCCATGTTTAAAAATGGCTTAATTTTATCCAATAATGTGACATATTAACTACTCAGCCAATTGTGCACAGTTATGGACAGTATTGACACATCATCTCCAATCAGATTTGAGAAAGCGGCTATGGGTTTATTTTGTTAGGGATGAGAGTGAAAGTGAAGAGCAAGTCATTTCAAAAAGTAAAGATGCTATAGATAGATGAATAAAGTAATGGATAAATACATGGCAATGCAAGCTCTATGGATACAGAATATATGAACGTGTACAATGCCCTCACTGGGCAGTGTGGAAACCTAAAGGAAGAGCTTGCTTTTTTCACATTAGATAGTACAATCACAAGCTGTAACATCAGAAACACTCTTTGGGCTAAAGGTGTAAAAGATGTACCTAACAACAGATTAAGGTTTATTTGTAATTCTGGTGAGCACCAGAGGCCTCTTGTGGTAATGTGTGATAAGTGAAATGTTATTAATTGTAAAATAATGCACAAATTGAATAATCCATCTGGGGCTCATGGATGTACTTTCAGTAGTCCCTTATCAATCTTCACATTACATCATTAAAACAAACCTCTTGGATGATATTATGGACTATCATACCATCTGAGTGACATACTTGTCTCACACCACAATTAAAATTGAAAATCTAGTTTTGGTTGACAAGGGAATTATTCAGAAACATTACAGGTCATGTTTTTTTTTTCAGTCTTGGAATTCTTCATGTAGTATATTGCATTTTATCTCCTTCCTTTTGTCTTTCCTGTTGCTAAAAGTCAATAATCAGACACATCACACCTCCAGCAATCACATTTTTCAAGTCTGAGATCTTTGAGTCACCAGAAATGGGTATCCCAGCATTCATCTGTGAAGTAAGCAAGTTAAACTTCTGTTAGTCTTTTATCTCTCCCATGATAAAAACCAGTAGAAGATACCTGGAGCTTAGTCCCGGATACGGGAGATATCCAAAGCTAAAACATCTTTATTTGGGAAGTTTAACTTTCGTGGCTCAATAGAATAATGGCAGATGTGCAGATACAGTTAAAGTGCAGATATAGTTCTGACTGGCCTTTTCGGTATGGGTTCTGCAATAGGTTATTTACTAACCTTACATTCTCAGCAGTCAACAGAGTTCATTTTGGCCATATACAAGATTGTGTGATTAGGGAAATGAGCAAAGTAGTATAGAAAAGTGAAGCAATAGGGCATGGTGGGACTCGATTAGGCATTCAGCAGGCAGGAAGGGGATGATGATGTCATAATCAGGGAGTTGAAGACTGACCCTGTGATTGGAGGAAGCAGTTCTTTTGTCCACCAGGGCCCAAAGGTTTGATAGGTACCAGGGTGGTAATTGCTGACTCAACAGAAACATCGACGATCACCCTTTGTCACTTCTTCTGACGAATGCACCACGTTTGGTACGAACCCGCTCTTCACTCCCTCCCAGCCTTCCTGGATGGTAATCTCCCCACTCTTTACCAGCTCGAATATATCCCGTGTTAGCTCCGTAAATGCCCTCTCCACGTTTATGGCATCACGTGCTGAAGTTTCCACATAGCGCATGCCGTACGCAGCCGCTAGCTTCTCAGCCTCTTGCCGGCTCACCTGACGCTGTGGTTCCAGATCACATTTGTGGCCGACCAGCAGGAAGACAATGCTGTGGGGCTGCACGTGGCTGCGTGCTTCCTCTAGCCACTCGTGAACGTTCTGGAAGGAGCGACGGTTGGTTATGTCGAAGAGCAGCAGACCTCCCACAGAGTTACGGTAGTACGCTCTGGTAATAGACCTGAAGAAAGCATAACAGAATTACATAATGTTCTTGAATTTGAATTGAGGTAAAATACAATTTAAATGTAAGGTCGCATTACATTTGGTATGAATTGTAAATTCACCCCATCTATTTTCTAAATGCACGTTGTTGATCTGATCGATGAACAATTTATCCATGCATGTTTATTTTTTGTTTGACCTCATTATTTTTTATCAAAATGTCAACTGGATGTTCAGAAACCAAAAAAAGAGCTTTATTACCAAGAGTGATTGCACCTTGGTTTTGAAGCTTCCAGTACACACATATAACTATAACTATATTTAACAATAAAATATATAAAAAAGGCACAGATAGGTTTAATCAGAATAAGCATTTATAGATTATGAAGAACATATTTACAGTATTGTGAATAAAAATATGAATAAATAGGACTAAATTAATTTACAAGGATATTGCACAAAAAAGTGGGGTATTGCACTTGGAAGGCATTTAACTGTTGAAGAGGAAAACAGCCTGTGGGAAGAAACTGTTCCTGTGCCTAGTCATCTGAGGTGCCGTCCAGATAGGTTGTGGCCAGGGTGAGTGGAGTCTGTGATGTGGAGTCTTTTACTTTGCTCTTTTTCTCACTCTGGAAGTGTACAGATCCTGGAGGGTGGGCAGGGGGGCACCAATAATCATCTCCGCAGTCTCCTGATGTCTGATTTGGTGGCTGAACCAAACCAGACAGTTATAGATGAACACACGACAAACTGAATGACAGCTGAGTAGAACTGTGGCAGCAGCTCCTGTGGCAGCAACCTCTGCTGGTAGTCAATGTGATTGTCCCAGTTCTGGTGCCCAGGAACCTGAATGACTCCCCTGCTGCCACAGTGCTGCTCGTGATGGTGAGTGGGGCGAGTGCTTGGGTGTTCCTCCTGAAGTCCACTATAATCTCCACTGTTTTGAGCGTGTTCAGCTCAAGGTTATTATGACTGCACAGGCAGCCAGTTGTTCGACCTCTTGTCTGTATGCAGACTCGTCACCATCGTAAGGCCGATGACGGTGGTGTCGTCTGCAAACTTCAGGAGCTTGACTGAGGGGTCTTTAGAGGTACAGTCATTTGTATACAGTGAGAAGAGCAGTGGAGAGAGGATGCAACCCTGAGGAGCACCAGTGCTGATTAGAGTCCTGGATGTGAGTTTCCCCAGTCTTACTAGCTGCTGCTGCCTGTGTCAGTAAGCTGGTGATCCACTGACAGATTGGGGTGGGCACAGAGAGCTAAGTCAGTTTGGCTGTGAGAAGATCAGGTATGATGGTATTGAAGACCGAACTGTAGTCCACAAATAAGATCCTTGCATAAGTCCCAGGTCTGTCAAGATGTTGTAGGATATAATGCAGTCCCATGTTGACTGCATCATCCACAGACTTGTTTGCTTTGTAGGTAAACTGAAGAGGATCAAGCAGGGGTCCAGTGATGTTCTTCAGGTAGACAAACACCAGTCTCTCACATGACTTCATGACCACAGATGTGAGTGTGTCAGGTCTGTAATCATTAAGTCCAGTGATTTGGGGGGTTTTTGGGGACCAGAATGATAGTGGAGTGTTTGAAGCAGCAGGAAACTTTTCACACTGCTCCAGTGAAGATTGGGGCCAGTTGGGGGCCTGTGCAGACTTTTAGACAGGCAGGTGCAAAACCATCTGGGCCTGAAGCTTTCCTGATCTTCTGTTTTTTGAAAACTTAGCTCACGTCCTCCACACAGACCATAAGCACAGCTTGAATAGTAGGATCTTTCTAGTGGACCAGACATTGACTTCACTTAAACTCCACGTCTTTCTTACAAATGACTGAAAATGACTTGCATTCAGATCTGGCTCTATCCAATCAACAACCAATGGATTGAACCTAGACCCTGTCCTAAATTTTTTTCTTTCTGATAATCTCTTTTGCTTGGTTGTACATCACAATATATAAGAAAAGATCAACCGTTACTTGCGTTTTAAAATGAACTGAAATTCAAATAAATTCATATAACTGTAATTTTTACTAGAAAAGCACATTTCACAACAATAGACTTTAAATGGTGGCTTATTCAAAAAGCCTTGTTTTATAGTTTAGAAAAAAGCTTTAAAATAATTGAAGATTGAGGTTTATAGGCCCAATAGATAGATAGATAGATAGATAGATAGATCAACCCGAGAAAGGTATTTATGTGTATGACAGGAACGGAGAGACCAGGAAATGTAAAACTGCAACAGAAGGCAGGGAAGAAAACAAGGTAGGTGAAAAAACTGTAAAAAGGCATCAGAGTGAAGCTGTACAAGAGGTCTGAGATTGTGTAGGAGTACCACTGGGAACACTGAGCTGTGAAGGATGCTGAGGGACCTCTGGAGTTACTGACATCACTTTGAGTTTTAAGACATTTGTGACATTGTAGATGGCAGTGATTCATCAATTATTTCTATTTCCTATAGGAGTTCTACAAAACCTTGTGTTGGTAAAGAGGCCTTTGAGCTGCATTTATTAATAAATAAATAAAGACAGTGTCTCTGAATCACCAAAGGTGGAAAATATTTTTTAGTGAATCATTCTGTCATCAAGTCTGGGAGAAATACATCAGCACGGAGACCATGGAAACACGGTAACATGGAAATCATGTGGATGGATAAGGACTCCTGATCAGATAAGATGATTTATCTAATTGAAACTTAATACGGTTGAGGTTTCTTTTGTGTAAACAACTATTTCACACTGTACAAAGTTAAATTATGTAAAATAATGTTTCCATTAGCATAAAAATCTTTCTGAACTAATAATCAGTGATATTATTTACATAGACATACTGTATATCTTTATGTAACTGGGGGTATATAGGATTTAAATTGTTTTAGGTAAACCATCCATATGTACAATACATATTGGGCAATTATTTACAGAGATGCAGAATCATGAGAAAGGTCTCATAACATAATCCAAGATAAAGATTTACAATACCTGAAGCGTTCCTGGCCTGCCGTGTCCCAAATCTGCAGTTTAATGCGTTTCCCAGGTTCGATCTCCACCAGGCGGGAGAAAAAATCCACCCCGACCGTCGGGTCCGACACCTGCGCAAACCGGCCTTCTGTGAATCGCCTGATTAAACATGATTTTCCAACAGTGGAGTCCCCGATGACAATCAGTCGAAATTGGTAAAGCCAAATTGCTTCCATGTCTATTCAGGTCTGTCAGAGCAAAAAGTGGAGAAGTGAAATTATACTGTTAATAAGATACTGCCAAAACATATATTCATGGTTTCCAAAGACAAAATAGAAAAGAAAGAGAAACATTCCTTATTTTATTCACCCAAATCAGCTTGACATAAAAGGAGGAAATATAGTAAAGTTCGCTTTAAAGCTTTTGTAATTCATTTATAACCTCATCTGGGAATGTTGTAGTTATAAATATTACAGCAATTACATGATCATGGCATGACAATCATCTCAGTCAACTCTATCCTTGCTCTGCGCAGAAAGGTAGTTGAGGCACAAAATGATTTTAAGGCGTAAAGAAATAACCGTCTGGTGGTTTAAACTTTACCTATCCCTAAAGTTCATCTTAACATGTGACATTTTTGTAAAATATAGGATGAATACAAGTTAAGTGGGATAACTGGCAAAGCCAATTCCATATCCATATACTATGTTTGGATGAACATAATGCTCTTTTTCAGTAATGGAAGAATATAGGTACACATAATAATAACAATGACATCTTAAATGTCACATTCAACCTAATTACTAAGTAATTTTTAGTAATTTGAGTTTATAGGTCCTTATTCATATATATGCAGGAAACTCGATACAAACTCATTTACCAGTTGAGTTTGGTCAGTTACCATGAAGCCTGTTAGATTACTGAGGCTCGCCTGGTGGCTGGGCTAGTCTAGTAGCTGGCTATCATTGGCCTTGTCATAATAACGAATGTTTCTTATTCTAAATCTACAAAACAGACAACTGTTTAACAAGCGTTGTCTTTGTGTAGAAGCACCTGTGTAAAAGACCCCTTATTCGGCGCTCTTTACTTACGTTGTTTTTTTGTTTTGTTTGGTCGTTTCAAAGCTACCAAACGGCAGATTCCATAATCTTTAAAGGATTGAAGCCTCTTTAGAAACCGCTGGATGAAATGACGGACATAAACTATTCACATAATATACCGAATAATAAACAAAACATTCGTCTCTACAGAAAAAAAAAACAGGTGCAAACCTTAACTGCTCCGCGTAGGCGGTCTATTGCTTGGATGTTGCTAAATGTGAGTCGACGTGTTGTTAAAATGGTCCCTGCCGGGATCAAAGTCGCGTGGAAGTCAAAGATGATTTACGCCTGTCATGTTTTGATCCACGCTTGGAAGATGGAGAAATGTTTGGATGTTTTGTGCTGATGAAATGGAAGCGACAGACAGCAGAAGCATCATATAGCCTGACTCATTCCGCATCAGCACCAGTACCATAAGCCTCCTAATAGCAGCGAAAGACATACGCGTTTCATACACCCCATACATTTTTCCCTCCTTTTCACATATTTATATTGTTTCGTACACCACTTTCATCTTGGAAATTCACCATCAAACGAGAATGCTGTTCTTTAAACATTAATCTATAGACTACTAAATAATAGGCTACATATAGCCTAGTTTTTTTATAGCCATGTTGATGATCAGTAGGCCAGGCCTAGCCTATGTACACCCAAAGCATGTTTATACACCCAAAGTTTTACCTTAAACTTCACAGTTTTGAATGTTTGGCCCACTGAATATAGGCTATCAGTGGTTTGACCACATCCTTGCTTTTAATTAAAAATAACACTTTTTTTTTAAATGCAGCAAAAGAAGATGTTTTGAAGAATGTTGGTAACCAAACAGTTGACGATAGCCATTGACTTCCATAAGACAAAACATTCTAGAAAGTCAATGGGTGCCGTCAACTGTTTGGTTACCAAAATTCTTCAAAATATCTTCTTTTGTGTTCAACAGAAGAAAGAAACTCATACAGGTTTAGGACAACATGAGGGTGAGTAAATGATGACACAATTTTCATTTTTGGGTGAACTATCCTTTTAAACCGGCTAAAAAAAAGATATGTGGGTATATATCACATGGAAATTATAGCCTAAATATTGTTTTAATACATTTACATTTAGGATGGTTGAAACATCACAAAAGTAGTAGGCTAGCCTACTTCGTCTTGAGACTCTAATCTTCCTTTAATTAACTGTCACCGTCCCGCTAGCGGGACGCCTAACTTTACTTCACTGTATTTCTATTAAATCCTAATCTAATTATGACAAATTATATATTGTTGGAAAGGTCTAAGACTTCTAAATAGATATTCTACCCCTGTTTTGTGTTACAAATTAAGTAGGAAGAGTAATTTATGAATTTATGACAAGAGTGCACCTCAAAAAATCTGCATCATAACAGGAGGTCTGACCTTTGTCACAAAAAGTCGATGCACCCACTTTTAATCATTGAAACTTATGTTTTTATGCTAAAAGTTCATAATAAAAAATATAATCTAGTATTTTTCAATAAAAATTATAATATAATATTATCCTCTAAAAATTATAATATATATATATTATCCTCTAAAATATTATATTATATTTTTTATCGCCTTTTTTTATTATATCACATATTTTAGTAGTTATCATAAATTAGGTATCATTTGAAAGCTTATAAACTCAGAATTCCTCCTGTGAAACTCGTTTTATAATTGAACGTTGCCTTACCATAGAAACGGTACTCTAAATTATTTTATCAGGCTCCTCCCCTTTTGGGCATCATTATATTTCATAATTTATGATCAAAACCTTTTCTAATCTTGACAAAACACATATTGTCAGAAAGGTATGTGTCTCAAGGTTACATATTTTGTGACAGAATTGATATTTGGACAGAAATTTATTAATTTGTTAAGGCAGAAGGTTTACAACTAAATTCAATGGAATTCAATGGCACCCGGTGGCTATTTTTGGTACTACGCCTAAACAAAATCTCATGGGAGCTTCAATTTTTGTGATATCAACTTCAAATTTGGAACAAAACTTGGTTAGATTTATGGCTTTGATTTTATAGTAATTTAAATTCTAGTTTAGTAAAAAATATTTTGTAAAATATATATTTTATATAAAATAAAAAATATATAGTACAGTATATTTAATTTACTGTAAATTTAAACTTACATAACTTTTTCATACTTTAATTTTTTTAAGTGTTTTCACTTCAGCAATAATCTGCTGAGTGTTTTCTTTAAAACAAGACCAAACTTGGGTATATATTCCAAAGCATTCTTGAATTACAACCATTTAAGTTTGAATAGTGCATTTTAACCCCCATTCTCAAAAGGTAAGTGACAGCTAAGTTTAATCAATTGTTAAAGTGTAAATGTATTTTCATGTGCGCCATCTATTTGAAGTTTTATGAGCAAACACGCCAGATAGTCAGTATGACGGGAGCTGTAGTTTATAGGCGATTCTTGATAGGCTACTAAACGCTGGACCAAAATCTCCTCCTAGTCTTAAAGTTCAGCTAGGCAGACTGTGAAGAGCTTCTTGAATAGATCGGTCAGATAGGCTTAGGCTAAATACATTTTATTGGAAAGACTTGACAGCGGATCCACCGCGCGACGAAAAGTTGTCGACTGGCAAATTAAGTGTGAAACTTCTCACCTCCGAAGAAACGTTTGACAACTGTCAGGCGCGCGTCCAACGGAACGCAGTTCGTTTTTTGTTCTGTTTTGTAGTTTTACGATCCACGTAAACCATACGCAGAGAATATAGCTACTCCGCCTAACACGGCTTTAATTTTACAGAAATAAAAATAAAAGCTTTCTTTCTTCTGCATATATTTGTCATGTAGTTTAGATTGCTGAAATGCAGCAGGAGCGGTTACTCAAAGTACTTGTCATTGGAGATTTAGGTGTGGGGAAGACTTCCATCATAAAGCGTTATGTGCATCAGATTTTTTCTCAACATTACCGCGCAACTATCGGTGTGGATTTTGCTCTGAAAGTCCTGAATTGGGATCACCGGACAGTCATTCGACTGCAGTTGTGGGACATTGCAGGTCAGTTACTGATGTAGCCTAGGCTATTCCTTGCCTTTGCCTGCAATGTTAATGATTGTCAGTAAGTTAAGTCACAGGCTACCTTATCAAAAAACCAATAAGCCTATGTAAAGAAATGAACATATGGGTAATTGAGTGGAGATTTCAAGCAGTGACAGCAGTGTCCTATAATAAAACCATTCAACTAAACTCTTGATGGCCTACAAGAAAACGTTGTTTTTGTGATGTCTCTGTCAGATAGCCTACCATTAGACTATATCTATTTAGCCTATGTTGTCTTAAATATAAAATCAAGTGCTAAAACAATGTTCAGCGATACATTTGTTGTACTTTTTATACCACCTTGAATTTAACAACTGATGAAGAAAACTGAGCAAAAGCCTGAAAACTCACAAATTAACTAACAATAATTAAACAAATTAAATGGAAATGAAATTAGATACAAATATTTAAAAAAAACATGATGTCAGAAAAATTCTTTCTAACAACCAATTTCCTAGCACTGATGTTTTATTGACCATCCACAGTGAATCTTGCACCATTACAACATAATACTTGATCTTAAGAAAAAATAATCACACACAAAAAGACAGAAAGAGATGAATAATATTACTGGAGTAATGCCTTAAACATTTGGCTTGGACATATTAAATACATTCCAAAGCATGCCTGTTTGGGATATTTTTTCTTCTCTCAGCTGTTGTGAGTGACCTCACAGTGCTATGAATCCCTCTCTGTGTTTATGCTCAGATTAAACTAAAGCTGCAGGGGCAGGAATGTGTGTCCCGTGTTTATGTTCACTGGTCTGGTCTCGTGCTTACATTGGTCTCATGTGAAAACACTCAAACACTTTTCCATCGCTCACGCGCACAAAATCGCACCAGAAAACAATGCATTGAATTCAACATGGCTGACAGAATGGAAAACCAAGAGATGTTTACAAAACTCTGAAAATTAGAGTTAGGTTTTCGTTTGTCATGTTTGTGGTAAGATGTTAAATTCACAAATACTGATGAGATTTAAATAAAGATTTCTATCAGCATAGTTTATTGACTTTGAAAGCATGTAATATGGATGACTGCACCCTTGAGCATGGACGTAACTGAGAAAAATTGATTGCAAGACAGTCTCATCCCCAATTGAATGGAGTAGTTTATGGTCTCACAACAGAGGCCCTTATAAGATCGAATTTCAAGATACTGCACTGCGAATCCTGTGTATTAGCTGTGACAGTCTAACTAGCCTCAGTCTGCCTTGATTTTCAGCATGATAATGCATTCATAGCTACATATTAGGTCCTTCTTCCACAAAATACCTTTTTTCCACCATCAGGCCGAATGGTTCTCGTTGTGAAACCGCGCTGATCCAGACATGCTTACGTCACCATCTTTTTTTCCATGTGGTGCTGTGAAATCAGGATTAGAATGGTAATTAGAAAGGTAAAAGTTCCCAGACTAGCCACAAAAGATATTTATTGACATAATATTATATGAGTAATATATTAATGAGTTAGCTATAGCATAATGTGCTGATGAAAATGAGTGTAGAAAAATACTTAAAAATAAAGGTTGTTTATTGGCATCTTTGGTTCCGTGAAGAACCTGTAACATCAATTGCACAAGAGGTTCTTTTTAGTGGAAACGTTTCTTTAAATTATTATAAACCAGCACGGTTGAGCACAGTAAGCTAACTATGCTGAGAAATCTGGGATGAATGGTGAACAGCTCTCAAATGAAGATGCAAACGGATCCGTTCTGATAGATTTAATCTTTTTCCGTGTGGTCAAGCTCATGTCATTTGTGATATGGGAAGATGTCTATGTTGTCTGCAGTCAAGGAAACCGTCCACAATTTTAAAGTTTTGCCAGTCTTAAGAAAATAAAAAATATTGTGAAATAGCACTTCAAGACCATAAAACAAGAAATATGACTTAAATAACACACATGAACTATCTTTAACTTTTTTTTTCTTTATTCACAGGACAAGAGAGGTATGGCAACATGACACGTGTGTATTACCGAGAGGCCGTAGGGGCACTTGTGGTTTTTGACATGACTCGTGCTTCCACTTTCCAAGCTGTGTTGAAATGGAAAAAAGATCTTGATTCTAAAGTTGCCCTTGGCAGTGGGCGTCCTCTGCCAGCTGTCCTGCTGGCCAACAAGTGTGACCAACAGAGATATGGTTTATGCTCCAAAATGCCCAAACTCGACAATTTCTCCAGGGACCATAATTTTGTGGGTTGGTATGAGACGTCTGCGAAGGTACAAATTATAGGCTTTTTTTACTATTATATTAACCTTGCTAGTAGCTGCACATGTTAAAAGACATTTCTACTCATATTCTTCCTTCCTCTTTTTTTTTAACAGGACAACACAAACATTGATGCAGCCATCATGTGTCTTGTGCAAAATATAATGGCCATCGACGAGGAGAATGTTCCTGTGGAATCAGACAACAGTGTACTGATCCTGCCTGCTTTTGATTATAACCTAAAAGAGCGCAGTGACTCTAGATGTTCTGCCTGCACAAAATTCCAGTCCAACTGAAAACCCTACAGTGAATTATAGAGTGAGATGGTGAAAAGAACAGAGTGGGGAAGAAAAATACAGAGAGAGAGAGAGAGAGAGAGAGAGAGGTCACACCCTTTGTTGGGCCTTCAAATTGTGCTGAAGTAAGCCTTTGTGGGAAAGACAAGAGCATAAAGTTAACACTTATATGCACTTACATTTACACATGCCAAAAACAACAATGTCATCAATAAAACATGCAGCGTTTACACAGTTTTCTCTGATAAATACTTAATGTTAGACTCACAACTAAATAAAGCTCTTGCAGCAGAAAAGCAGTGTGCACATCTGCATCTGTTAAAGCCTCAGACTTAAATGCTGCATCCTAAAAATGTGTGCATGCATTTACATAGTGTGGGGGTGTGCTGTTTTAAATCCAATCTAATGTCATGTACACTCAACAGATACTTGAGGCTCAAAAACACAGTTAATGTCATCACCATGAAATCAAAATGGACAATTCTTATTTTTTCTAATGGGATATTTATTATAAATAATTTATCCGTGCACATCAATACTTGTTTTAAAAATTCATGTGCCCTCATAATCGTTAAAGGGTTAGTTCACCCCAAAATGAAAATTCTGTCAGTAATTACTCACCCTCATGTTGTTCCAACCCTCTAAGACTTTCGTTCATCTTCGGAACACAAATTAAGATATTTTTGATTAAATCTGAGAGCTGGATCACTTCTCCATAGGCTTCTTAAGGGATTGAAACTGGCCGGCCCAGAAAAGTTAAAGACATCTGTGGCGAGCAGGACGAGGTCGAGGGGCGTGGGAGGACGGCGCGAGGCCGGTGGCGTGATTACTAATGAGCGACACCTGCACGACGCACCGGTCTCGATCTCCACTGTCGTCGCTCCTCCTTTTATGTTTACACTCCTCCGTGAGAGATACGAGACCGGTGCGTCGCGCAGGTGTCGCTCATTAGTAATCACGCCACCGGCCTCCTCCCTTGACCTCGTTCTGCTCGCCACAACATCGTTAAAATAGTCCGAGTGACTATAGTGGCTCAATCTTAAGTTTATCAAGCGAAGAGAATACTTTTTGTGCGCAAAAAACAAACAAAAATAACGACTTTAATCAACTATTCATTTCCTTCTCTGTGGGCCTCGAGATTTCACGTAGTGAAATTGCGCAACGGTTCTGTGTTGTACGTCACACGCAGGCTCACTATTGGCCGACGCTGGTCATGTGTGTGTTACAACCTAGAAGCGTTGCGCAGTTACACTACGTGAAATCTCGAGGCCCACAGAGAAGGAAATGAATAGTTGAATAAAGTCGTTATTTTTGTTTGTTTTTTGCGCACAAAAAGTATTCTCTTCGCTTGTTAAACTTAAGATTGAGCCACTGTAGTCACTCGGACTATTTTAACGATGTCTTTAACTTTTCTGGGCCGGCCAGTTTCGATCCCTTAAGAAGCCTTTGGAGGAGTGATCCAGCTCTCAGATTTAATCAAAAATATCTTAATTTGTGTTCCGAAGATGAACGAAGGTCTTACGGGGTTGGAACAACATGAGGGTGAGTAATTACTGACAGAATTTTCATTTTGGGGTGAACTAACCCTTTAATCACAATAACTTCCCCTCCCGAAATATCTTTGATGACATGTTTACCACAACCATCCAATCAATTCCCGATAGACCCTTTTCACAGACTGTGATGACGCGTTTCCACAGTTATCAACATTGCAAATCTAATAAAAAATTTCATATTTTCATTTAAAAAAAATGTAGTACACATTTATAACGCCATATGTTATATTACCTTGTCAGTAAATGTCAAGAAACGAATTAACGCTGCTGCGAGACTGTTTCTAATACAACGGTTGAGGGAGTGACGACAAATTTGACATCTTTCTCTCTGACCAACACAATCAATCAACACAATCAATCTTATTTTTTCCCTTTTTTGGAAAATCGTGGAAACTATTACAGATTTTTTTCTTTTGCTATTGGATCAAATTGAAATACAAAAATTATATTTGCTGTCATCTCCCCCGCTATAGAAGTTTACCCAAGTATAACAGCTTCCGCTTCTGAGAACCCTGGAAATGTGACAGAATCAAGTCCCACCCTACATTGTTTATTGTTTAAGAAGCCGTTTCATTTGGATATATATACATCACAATAGGGAAGAAGAGAGACTTCCGTTTCATGCCGACTTTTAGTGACTAGCCCATTGCTGCTTATCAACCTAAGATATTTTTGGAATTTTAGGACAGATGCAGACCAAAGATGAACAGTCCATCTGAACCAACAACAACAGCCAGACCAAATACTGTCTGTAGGTCTTTCTTTAGAGATATGCCTTCACACATGACTGTATTTAACTTGTAATAGCTTATATAAAAAAAGAAAGTTATTATTTGATGTGTATAAGGTACTTTTATCTTTTATATGCATTGGTTTGTGGGATCAAGGATGATGTAAGATCTTGAAATGATATGATTTTATATGAATAAAATTCAAAGAAAAGCAGTCATGTGCCAGCATGCAAAATATATTCCATTACTGTGAATAGCATGGAATTCACACAGTCAAGTGTTATGTCTGTGTGCGTCCATATGCAAAAATAAAAATGGAAAGCAATTGCTTCAGACAAGTAATTGCACTGCATTGTCTCGGCTGACACTGAGGAGGCGCGTGCCTATAGTGTAAATGTGTCACTGGATGTTTGAATGTTTTTATGTCATCACCCATATGCTTTCTGTCTGCTCACAGCAGTCATTTTCACTGTGCGTTTACCCTGTCTGTTTTGTCTGACTTGCCATAATCCACTGATTTTCCATCTGTCTACTAAATAGGCTTCACTTTTCCCACATTATCTGAGCAAGTGTTTTGGACTGTGTAACTCTATCTGTATAATTGCATCTTGTAGCTATAAGGTGTTAATCATCTCACAGTACAGTAATCATGCCTCAATTTGTTTCTCTCTGCTTGTTGGACTGCTTTAGTCCTCTTTGCCTCATAAGAGTCTGCCACATAGAGCGTGTCTAACAGTGACCTTTAACTAAGCCTACTTTTTATTCAGAGGACATGATGATGAATAATTTTATGGCAACTTATATATGACATAAGTCTTTCCACAAAAACGAAACTGACTTAGCCTACATGTGCTCAGGAACGTGTACACAACAGCTTGAGGAATGCAAAGCTTTTCTGTTTTTAATGGTTATCCTGAGACCTCCCCGTATTAGCAAATATGCACAATAACAATAACAACACAATAAATAAAAGGTTTTTGATTATTTAAATAATTTTCGAATTTAGTGCATAATACACGGACATCTTCGTGTGATACAACTCTTAAAACCTTTTAAAAACTCATTTTTAAAAATAACCCATGAATGATGCGATGATGACACTTAAACATAAGAATAACCCCACAGAAAAAAAATCATTACACAAATCCAATGCTTGAACAAGTGAGGCGTGATTTCTTTCCAGCGTTATTATTTGTGCATCTGAAGGGTGATGATAGCTATATGATTTTGAGAGGTAATTGCACAGGTTATAGTTTGGAACAATATGAGGAGTGAGCTGGACGCGCTAATGATAGAGCATTGGAGCATCGCACAGTGCTGTAACTGTAAACGTGTTGCATTTCCAGCCTTGGGCAATAATTGTAGGTCTGATAGCATCCCCGGAGGATAGGCTATTGATCGCTTTACAGGTATGCTGTAGGAGTTAAACCGTGAATAGAGCAAGGAGTGTAGGCTACTTGCTCCTTCGACACTCCAGCCGAATGATGCGATAGTGTCACGGCGTGTTCATTACGGACTGAGCAAAGGGGATTACGCGTAAAAGTGCTTTGGTCAGGAAACTGTTTGCCTACCGGCTCTGTGGTGCTCATCGTTGAGGATGTCGAAAGGTTAACGACTGTTGGGGACCAAATCACCTTTGAAAAAACCGGAAAGAGAGGCGGTGCCAGATGATTTCGTAAATTCAAGTTTGAGCTGATATTTTGGAAGCCTAACTTATAGCACAACTGGGGGACGACGGTGGTATTATGTCTGCCTATCCAAAACAGGCCAGCCAGAAGTGATTCATCTAAAGTAAATTATAATAAAAAAAAGATTAAAAAGATCCTCCAAGGATGACAGCAGCAGAGCGGTAAAACTCTAGGCTACATAATGCTGTGGATGGGGACAGAGTTGCTGCTTCTTTTTATTTTCCCATTGAATTCAGGTAGGTTACTGCCTTGAATCATTTGCTTATAAAATATTGTTTATATGGTCCATTGTGTTTTTATTATTTCTTTTTTTATCTTATCAGACAGCCTTCCTCTTCATTTATTAATCTTGTAAGTGTAACAGTTTTTTATTAGTTATATGCTGTGTGTCTATTAACTGGTGTATCTATTCAGTTATATAAAAGTGTTTAAGTGAATTTCAAGGCTTACCTGTACAATTTATAGAAAAAGTCACAATACAACCTGAAACAACACACATCAAAATTAAAACATAAAATTAATGTCTTCATTTATACAAGCCTCATAAAGGAATACAATTTATATGTGCATTATGCAATACAATGTACAAAAGAAGATGGCCTTTAAAAAAGTTAGTGGACATTTTTGTAGGTGCAATTTTTGAAAATAATCACTAAACAACACAAATTTCATTAATTAAATAATATAATAAGATTTCAGCAGTTAAAATATTACTAATAGACCATGATGATATGATTTTTATAATAAATGAATTGCTAAATAAAACTCAGCTTGTCTCTTTTCAATCGACCAGCGCAGATCTCTGAACTACCCGCAGTAATGGACAGTGACATGCTCACTGAAATTGCATACCAGCCTGGGCCATCGTACCTGAGTCTGCTCCTGTTGGTCCTGGCCGTGGGACTGTCCGGCAGTGTTTACCTCTGTGTGCTGCAGTACATTTGCACCGGCTGCTGCCAGCCTGTAGTTGTTGGACCTGAAGATGAGAGCATGTCAGGAATGGTGTGATAGCACGCGTGTCTGTCTTCATGACTGTTTATGTTAGCTTGCGTGCAACAACAAATCATTCTTTCTTTCATTCATGTAACAGAGTTGAAGGCTCATCCCTTAAGGACATCAGAATGTTATTGTAAGACAGAATTAGCATAATAATTTTTTTGTGATTGTTATGTTTTCCACTGACATAACATGTATAAAACACTTATGGCAAACCACGTTCAAAGAACACAGCCAACATTCAGGGATACTTTACTTC